TTCATACATTTGAGCTGAGCTAGTGTACTCTGCACTTGTTCTGAGTGGGCATTGGGTTTCTTCCATATGTTTCTGCATTTGATTCTTTACTACAGATGTTATTAATTGAGGGATTTCTTTTTTCATTTCCAATCTGAGTTCCTCTATACCTTTCTGCAGCTGTTTCTTTATTTCAGAAGCCGTTGATTCATTACTTTCAGCTGTGTGACTCCCAATTTGTTCTGTGTTAGTGTCTTCTGCACTTGATCCGGGTGGGCTTGGGTTTTGAGGTTGCATTTTGTTCCTTCTCCTCATTTTGTGTAGGACTGTCTTCTGAACTTTGTTGTAGATCTTCGCTGTAGTTATAACCTTAGTGCCTACTGAAGTTCAGGTGCAGCTGTACAAAGTTTGGATTTATCCAGCTGTGCCTGGCCTGGGTCTGGCTGCTCTGCTCAGCTCCTTCCTGCTGCTGCCCTTGAGGGTGGACCTTTTGTGTCCCTGTGACAAGATATTCTGCTCCTGGACTTGCTGGTTGGTTCTATCCTCTACACTCTGCAGGGATTGCAGCTGCAGGTTTACACCCCAGGCATGTATACCAGGCCTGAGCTGAGCCTGTAGGGGGCAAGGTGGAGTAGAGGGGAGGGGAAGCTCTCCCACACACTCACCGGACCTAGGCTAGGACTGGGTCTGGGGGCTGCCTGAACTAGGCAGAAAATCCTACTTGGAGGGCGGGGTGGAGGAGGTGCTGCGGAGTGGTGTGTGGGGGGGTCCCAAGTTAGTGGGAGAGGGTCTCGCCCAAGCTGCACCTGGGCTGGGACCAGTGGTTCATCTCCCCGGTGCAGTGTAGCAGGAAGCTCTCCCACACACTCACCAGACCTAGGCTAGGACTGGCGGCTTTACTTTTTATACCTCGTTTTTATACTTTTCTGCTGGATGGTTAAGACCAAGATAAAGCAAGGCCTATATAAAAAGAAATGTAATTTTTTTCTCTGATAACATTAGTCAAATCCTCTCAGGATTTATGCTGAAACCGTGTGCCAAAGTTTGTTGATCCTTTGTCAGTGTCAGTTATGTGGACCAGTTACAGCTATTGCTTGACCAATTTGATCTTCGTGAAGTCTGAGAGAATGTTTTTCTCCATGTGACGCTCCTTAGGTACACTCTACATCATCACTTCCCTCTGTAGCCACATAATCTCCTCGATCAGAAAATTTGGGACACAATTGAGTTACATGATGTTACAACACAGGTGCTCCTATGTCTTGAGTCCTCACTGACCTTGAAAGACTAAGCCAAAATGCTGGCTGTCCTTGCAGACCTTCTTTTTCTCTAATTTTTGGTTTGCAAACTTAGGTTGTTAGCCCTCCCTAAAAGAAGCTTATTATTATTACCCAACCACATAAGTATTTGAGCTTAACATCACTGTCTGAGTATCAAGCATCTTAGACATAACATGAAATAGGTATTTTCCATCAACGATTGATACATTAAACTGAAAAGTTTTATACCATGCAATTATTCCAGTCTTTGCTTTGGGGTTCAGGCCCAACAGGAAGAACTCTCGTGGCTTTAGAGGAGAAAAACAACTAGTTGGGGTACATGTGTGATTATACGAGGGAGCATGGTTAGGGCTGAGTGTTTCATCTTCTCTGGGCACCAAAGGAAGAAGCACTCACGCTTTCTTATCAGCTTCTCCAGTCAATGATCAGGAGAGGTCAGAGAGTTGCAGAGGTTAAAGGTTTGCAACAGTCTTAAAGTACAAATATTTTCCTACCAGACAGCATATTGTGGGTTGACTTTTAAACCCAAACTGATGATCTCTTAATTCCTGGGTTTAATCATTTTTATTTTATAGCAACATCTTTTTATTTATATAGTTTATACATGCATTTTTCCTCATATGTGTGTGTATGTGTGTATAAAAGACAGGGAAGAAATAATATAAAGTCAAAAGAATATGGAAATGCACTTTTTAAAGTTTCTAATACTAGGAGAAGATATCATAGAATGTCTTTTAAATAAATTGTAAGTCAAAGATACAATATAAATCTTAGAACAAAAATTAAGATTACACAATATTCAGAAAATTAAATGTTTCAAAACAATTGAACTAAGAAAATGTTTTCATGGTAGCAAAGAAGTACTAAGAGTAAAACATAAGATAAATACTGGAATGGCAAGTAAATGACCAGCACTTCTAACAGTTTGAGGATAGGATATCGCACAAAGTTCTAGTGTGTTGTGGACATGCATAATGACCGTGACAGTTACTGGTGTCTTTATATAGTTTTAAGTTTTTTTCTAACTTATGAATGGTTTATCTAAGTCTTTAACATCATATAAGCACATTTCAATTACTTGGTGTTTATGAGTCTGAGCTTGTACTGAGCAAATCTTTCTGTAGTGTTTTTCTAGTCCAAAGATGGGATCCCCTATCCCATTATCTAAGAGGTGGTTTTCTCTATGAATCTTCCCTACTTTAGGTACTAAAGATGTTTAAGTATCTTCATCCATAAATCTGTACCATATTCAGAAGAAACAGAGTTTTAAATGTTTCCTTTTTTTTTTCCTCCCAGAATATTTCCCCATGAATGATCCATGGGAAATAGTTTTTGCTGATGCTTCTTCAATGACTTTGGAATTCCTTCCAAAGTAGAAAATTATCTGAGTAGTATTCCATGCTTGTGCACCAGAGACAGGCTTTCTCCAGTCTTAACACCTCCCCAAAACATTCATGTTCACCTGGCAGATGGCCACTGAGAAGTGTTTGTAATTGGTGGAGATTTTGATGTGACTCCATGCTGCCCAAGGATTTTAATTTTCATACTGTTCTACACTTGGTATTTTTTAGTTACATATCTTTTCAAATGAACTCATAAGAAAGTTACATTAAGATTGTGTAGGAAGAAGCTGTACAATGTTTTCATCCTGGCTCTCCTCCAATGATTCTAATACTTTGAGATTTAGGGTGGTCATTCAGCAAGTCATTGGTGTGGCAAAACTCAGTCCATGAAAAGAAAGACACCAAAAGAAGTAAGCACACAATGAACAGCTTTATTTCATAGGTGTGATCCTGAGAAGAATAACTTCCAATCAAAGAAAGACATTGAGTGTCTGTGAGCAGAATTTTATGTCAGGCATAAGCAGAAGTTACTTAAGGCAGACTAGAAGCCTGCCAGTTCTGAGTAGCTATCAGAGTGAGATCAATTGTTACATTAATACCATCAGATACAAGACTACAATAATGTTCACAAAGGTTGATACAATCAAGTATCCTTAGTGTTTGAGCATGCACTTGTGGTTAGAGATCTAAATAAAGACAGCAATTACACAGCCAATAAACAGTTACATAGCTAGGGAGATTCAAAGAGAACAACGGTTTTTAAAAGAGTAATATTTCCTACTACATATTTTCACTTGTACCACCACTGAAAAGGTGTCTGCCTCCCATGCTGCCTCCCATCATCCTTCTCTTAGTGAGGATGACTGATTCCATGTCTAACTCAGGACATAGACACTGACTTTTGTGTCAAAATATAATATTTGCTTTCTTTAAATTCAGGCCACTGTACAAAAATTCCACACACCTGGACTCTACTCACCCTCAACAAAAAATTCTTTATCCAATGTAAACTTATGTAAGCTTGTCTTTCAAACATCTTCTGTAGAATATACCTGTGTTAATTGCTTTAGGCTCCTGAAGCCTGGTTTTCTCTTCAGAGCTCTATGTGCCCATTCTGGTGTAGATTCCTCATGGTCTTCTTCACTAGAAGCTTGGTCTGGAAAGCCACTTCTTTGGTTTTCAGTCCCTGTAGAGCCTGGGTTGTGGCACCAATCTGCAGGTATCCTTCTTTCTGGTCATACTCTGGCCAGTTGGGCAGCCCCTCCCCATTGGGATTCCTGGAAACAGAATCAAAGAGAATTTCCCCAACATAACCTATTGGATCCCATTTTTCTGAGACTTTCAACTTTCCACTGGCTTATCTCAACAGAGACCCATGCGCCACCATAGACAGAGTCTGCTGGAACTCCTGGAGCAGCATGTGCCTGTATAATGTAATCCCACAGTGACAGTGCTATGATCTAGGAGTCCAGTGTTTGATCCAGCTATAGAAGACACCCTAGGCCAGCAGGTATGCCCAACCACACCATCACAAATGCTTTTCATTTTTGCCACCAGCCTCACCCAGTTCGAGCAAAGTTGGCCCAGAATTTCATCATCATCTTGCTGAGGTTGATCTCTTCTTCTGAGGCTCCCTCTACACAGAAATAAAAACCCAAAAACGTCTTTAGTACTCAAAGTGTGGTTTGTTAAGGCACCAGCAATTGAAGCAAATGGGATTGGTTACAAATTTACTCTTGGCCTTTATTCCTTGCCTGTAGAGTCTAACATGTGGATTTTAAAAGTAGTCTTGTATTTGCTATGCACTAACCTGGAGAGTCATTGTATATGACTCGATATGCTGGCTGCCTTTGTCTACTGTGTCTACTTCTTACCCTCATAAAAGTAGTGTCATTCATTAGGTTTTCCTTTATCTTATAAAGTTGCTTTTTGTTGTATATGTTTTAATTTTCTGTTATGTTTTCTGCCCACCTATAGCCTCAAACTATGCATGACTTCTACAGTGTGTGATTGGTTCAGGGTTCAATGCTGGGATCATGGGGATGAATGCTATACCCATCCTGGAGCAGGCATCCTGAATACAATATAAGGAAAGGAAAGAGACTTGCTCCCTGATGCTTCTCTTTATTCTTAGTAATTTTGCTGTCTTCTTCTGCCATGAACTATTGACCTCTGCCATGTGCCACTCTGCCTTCAAACCAGCCAGGTATGGACTGAAACCTCCATAAAGTGTAACCAAAATAAAACTGTCCTTCCTTAACATTGAGTGTCTGTAATTTTGTCTCAGCGGTGAGATAAAAGTAACAAAAACATTTTCTTATACACATCTACAATTCAAAGAGTCTGAAACACATTATAAAGCAAAGGATCTGAAAAACTGCCAAAGTGAGAGATACACAGTGACACATGGGTGTCGTGAAGAACTGTGATGTGAGTTACAAGTCAAACTGAAGAACTTAACATATTTATGAGAAAACTTCATTAAATTTGATATTATTAAGTATATTAAGGTTAAAGTTCATGTTTTGGATATATGAAATGACAGGAAGTGAGTTGGACACATAAGATTAGAACTTTTATTAGCCATCTCATCATTCACATTATGATAGATACCAGACAGTAGAAAAATAGGCCATAGCATTTTTGTACTCAATCAGGTATCTGCAGAATATTCAGTTCCTCTCTCACTTATGACATGTTCAAGTTGGGCAGTGTGAGCACCCATCTTCTAACATGCATGTTAGATCAGGGGAAAGCCTGTGTT